AGAGAATTAATTAAAGGTATAGCATAAGACCAATAAACGAAATTTGACAAGACTAAGTGGAGCGGGGGAAAGAGTACAGGCAAAAAGAAGGAAAATGCAGAACGAGTGTATTTTAAGATATTTTTTTCTCATTTTGAAAATTTGGTAGTAGCTCATACTAGGTGTAGTACAGGTCATAGAAGCCACCAATCCAGCAGCCTATGTGGAACCTATTATTTCTTTTCATTCTCTGTCAATAAGGATATCTACAAAGGCTCCTAATTGATAAGTCGAGATAAACAAACATTCCATGCTTTCAAATTGATTAGCATGATTGACTCATCCACATATGCAGCAGGAGGTAATCAACTAGTTGAGCTGCAAACTTATGTGTGCAAAATATTACTAAACTCCAAGCTTGAGTGGTTTTAAGAAATTATCAAATGCAAGTGTCCTCTGTTTATATCAAAATTAATAATTTTAGTACTCAAACATATCCAACCCAATAATGGAAAACTTAACATGCGTGTGCAATTAAAACAGTAGTAAAAATACTTTCTATAAAAGTTGTGACAAACATCACAAGCTTGACCCGAAAAGATAAGTGTTTCATATACACCTGAATATGATGGTCGGCTCTGATGGAGACATTTTAGTAGGACGGGTGCAGTCCCCGTAAACAAAATGAACAGCTCCAGAAATGGTGAGCACGCTGCAAGGTCTGCTTCTCTACCTGAGGATTCCAATCTTACTCGTAAAATATGACCTACACCACCACAACTTGTCAAAGAGATGAAAGAAATGGATGTCCAATCAAAACAAGACAACCATATGTTACTAACACCACTATGCAGTGGCCAAAAAGAATAGGAATGACTATTTTGTGCCATTGAAATCGAACTTAAGACAAGAGTTAAAGTAAAGTATCCCAATCACTTGCAAGAACTGCACCATTAAGCATTGCCAGGTCCAGAAAAATTATTACTTCCTAACACATGCTCCACCTATCATCCAGTAGGTATCAACTGGCATCACTGTGATGCATGTTGTCAACAAATATGAGCTATCAACATTTTTTTCCTTGATGGCATAACTCATGAGTTAAACGTCTCAATGATAACGACCAGGAAAAGAGAAGCGCATCAATATCCATGAATGAAGATAATATTCTTTAACAAATTTGAGATCAAGCATTGAACCAGTTCAAGTTTGAACTTGAACTGTTAGATATTCTAACTGTGCATTACAATTTCGCTTCCGCGTATGATCCAAGTGTCTCTATCACCTCTTTCCATATATCAAGAGGAGAAAACATTGATGAATGAACACTCTTTACTTGTACGATATATATTCGAAAGAAGTAAAGGGCTAACCCGAGTATATAATCTTAAACCAATCCGATAATAAAAGTTCGGTCAGTAGTTGTCACTCACTGCATATTAGCCACAAGATTCAACCCAACTCCACCAGCTCTTGTTGAAATCAAGAAAACAAATGCTGCATTTTGTTCAGCTTCAAACTTTGATCTATTATGACTAAAGCTCCTGATTGCAGCAAAGCGCTCTTCCGCACGAATTGAACTATCAAGATGCTCATAAGAATACTTCCTCATATCAGATTAGAAATATTTGCCTACAGTATATCAAGTGTTTGAGTCATCTGAGAGAAAAGAAGAACCCTATGTCCACAAGCATGAAGTTTTTGAAGAAGATGATCCAATATTAGCAGTTTGCCGCTAGCCTAACCAGCACTTAATTAATGGTTAGAAAAGCATACCCATGAAAACAACATACTTTCTTGGGGTGAAACATTAGTAATAAATACAAAAGAATGCAGGATAATCTTTTAAAGTTAAATAACTAACAGCTGCATACTCTTAACTTAGTGACAGCCGGGTAGATTACAATTACTTAAGGTGCATATCCAGTGTGAAATCTACAGCCACAAAATTACAAACAGTGACAATCAGCAGAAAGTAGATACAATACCTGAACTAGGTGTTCTCCCTCTTCATATGGTTCCGATTCTATACCACCAAAAAGGTAAGGATGACTACATACTTTTCGAAGTTGAATTATCTGGAAGTGAGTCTGCAGGTTAGTATTAGGGAGGATACAAGTTGAGCTCTAACAAATAGATCTCCAAGTCCAAAGCATTTTTCTTACCCTTTAAAGGCTAAAACAGCTACTTAAGCATGATATTTATGACAAAATGAAGTGGAGATGCTAATATACTTAATGAACTCTCATCGAATGTAGATTCAACTTAGAAAAGCATGAAGGTCTATTGAAAAAGAATGTCAATAAACTTCTCTGAATATGCAAAAATATTTGCCAGCAAGCTTTTGCTCTTACTTCCACCAGATAACATGAACTCCAAATTTTCTTCTTTACTTGAAATAGTAAAATTCTGGAGAATCAGGATATATAACTTTATTCTATGAGAGTACAGAGAGATTCTTGAAAGAGATATAACGTTGACATAGATAAGGCTTACCCGAAAGAGGAGCGTGGGCTTGTCAAGTGTTGAAATCGTTATTTCATACAAAGGCCTGCGAAACACAAGTATAAAAAGATGGAATTAATAAATTCTCTCCCTGATTATAACAGCATCATAAACTTGCCAAATCTTGACACACAACGATTAAGGAAAAGAACAAAGTGAAGGCAAAATCAGGAGAAATGTATCAGAATATTACCGAAATGACAGTGAATTTCCACACACAACACCATTTCCATCTACATGAGGGACTAGTTACTAGTTAGATTCTTTCTAGGATTTTGGAGGAATCAACCCTTAACTTGAATTTGGATTGCACTATGGTCAGTGGTGTATCTAGGATTTTAAGGTTGTGAACTTCCTTTAATATAAATTTCTACCAATCACATAGTAGAAGTTCACAACTAATTCAAATGTAATAGCGAAAATAGATCATGGTAAAAATACGACTTAAATTGTCTTTACCGAAAAAAATATCAAAAATTCATGAATATACAGAGAACTCGTACCGAGGAAGCAAGGCCATATCTATCGAGAAGGTTTGCGAATCCAAAATCACATGTGTAAAAAAAGTAAACATATTTGATTCACATATAATATAGAAACAAGGAGGGTGCTATCATGCACTTGGTTGTCATTCTTACCTGGTCGGATGTCATTGTGCTTTGTGACAAAAATGTTAGATAACTGAAATAAATCGAAATACTTCATGTTAAAACAGGTCATACAAGGAAAGCTCATTAATAAATCAGGGCCTATTTATACCTTCACGTCTCTGTGTAGAACACGGTTGGAGTGCAGATAATCTACCGCCAGTAATAGCTGAGTCAGCCATTTGCAGAGTTTCTGCAGTGGAAAAAGTTGATGAACACATAAACTTTAAGTGAACCACTCTAGTATGAGAACCCATTATGATGGAAGTTGTATCCAAACTACCTCTTCTGGGAAGAGATCTCCTCTAGACTTCCTTATGATCTTTGCCCTGATCACCCAAAAAAACAAAAAAAGTCATTATCTTCATATTACACCATAAAACATTCCCATGATCTTATCGCTTTCAACCTAGTAATTTCGGGAAAGGTTTCTAAAGATTCTTCATATAAAAGCATCATAAGTTAGTTCAGTCTACAAATATGTTTTGACCATCTTTTGGGAGAAACGTAAAATTCATATGTGAATAAGTATAAAAATGCTAACAAGGCTAGGATAACCACTCATATATCTCCACCTTCACAATATGTCAATAAGTATTAAAATGCTAGCAAGGCTAGCATATCCAGTTCCCTTGAAAGAAAAACAAAGTCAATCTGGTTTTGAGGCAACTCGATATAGAATTTTTCTCAAGTACATGATAATCATTTTAGTTCCAAATACTATTCTAGAAACTGAATAACATAATAACTTCTCGACCCCAGCATCCTTGTACTCCATGATATATGGATTGATTAACTTAGCTATCAGATCTATCTGCCATAGAATAATAAATACACAAATATCATCAGATATCAATTAGCTTAACATTATGTAGACCTATCTACTCAACATGATATCATTCCAAGACAAAGTGAAATTTACTCTATAACCTGCAGACACAAGGTTCTAAACAAGACAATGGCTTGCACGACGATTCTGCTTCGCTTTCAAAAACTAATGACTTTTTAGAGTGAAATTGATATGATTCGACTAACAAGACCCTATAGCTATTCAGTTTAATTTCCAAGTTCTAAAATTAGGTAGACAAACTGTTAACACGATCTAAAGCAGGCAAGTTGAATAAGATTTTAAGGCTAAAGTTGAATACAGATATAAAGCAGGCAAGTTGAATCAGATATAAAGCAAGGAAGTTGGAAAAACATCATTTAACCTTCACATGTAGAATAGAAAGGGCAAAGAATCAACTGATGAAGCTAAAATGCGAGCTAGACACCCAAAAATCGTATAAAAAACACAAGAATATCAAAACCCTAAAGCTAAAATTTAGACTTTCAAAGATAGAATTTCTTACCTGATAAACCCTATACCAACAAAATCGTGTTCTTCAGTGAGAATTATGACGGAAATCATGTTCCTCATCGTGTTCTTCACCGAGAAATCTGAGAGAAAAGCGTGACAAAGAGACTTAGCTTCAGTTCATCTGTGACAGAGAGACTTAGCTTCAGCTATTCATCTATGAAAGAGAGACTTAGCTTCAGCTCTTCGATCAGTTCATCAGAGAAAAGTGCGTCCTTCAATCAGTTCATCAGAGAAAGAGTAAAGCGTGTTTTCTGATTTGGGGAAAACAAAAGTTCTATTAATGTTTTATGAATTACTTTTTTGGCCAATAAAAATGGGAGGGAGAGTTAAAAATGTTGGAGGGAATATAATATTTTAGTGATAATTTTAAGGCAACATTTGTAATGTGTTGTTTTTACAATTATAAAAATAGGACACTTTAGAAGTGTGGCCATATATGTAAATAGTTGCCAATTATATCATATTATAACAACGCTTATAAAGTGTAGCTTATACCATTAAAGAGTACACTTTGCAAGTGTTGCCAATATTATCGAAGCTAAAAGTTAAAAACTTGGGCTATGCTTTAAAAGTGTCCCCAAAAATATTTTAGGCAACACTTTACAAGCGTTGTCCAGAATTAGTGTGGCCGTAGGCCTAAAATGTTGTAGTGTGGGTTTTTTACTTCACAATTGGGGTAAACTAAGGCGGTTCTATGGGTGGAAGAACCCATATATGATTAATCTAACATACCTTAATTAAAAGCCATAATCAAGCTTGAAACAATGGGGGAAATTCGACCTAGGTTTCTTCCCGAACATCCTTTCCTCTTCTTCTTCTTCACTTCTAGAGAGAGGATATCTGGAGTGGATTTTGGGGTTCTTTGATGAATGAGTTAGTGACTTAGTTTAGGGGCATATTAAGCTTATATAGGTGTTTAAATAACTAACTAACCGACCTACCTTAACCCCTAATTAATTAACTAATAATTCCCGAACCCCCAACTTAAAACTAAAACCCAAAAAGTTGCCCCACCTACGACTCACCCGCCCACAGACCGTGGGTTGGTCCACAGATCGTGCTGCACCCTTTGTGGGTCTGGTAAGTGACATAAAGTTTCAGGCCAACACAGTCCTTGAGTCACGACCTCCATCTACGGGGCGTGGGTCTACCTACGTCCAGTAGGTGGCCAAGCGTAGGTGCTGCCAAATTTTGCAGATTTGGGGCTGTTTTGAGTGTCCTCCTCATGGACCCCTTGGGAGCTCCTTGTGGGGTCGTACCTTGATGCCCTAACCCTTAAACCTCCATTATAAGTACGGGAGTCATTTCTATGAGTTTTAACCCTCATACCACACTCCAAGACTCTTACGCAAAGCTGCAGAACTCTGTAGTTCAACTTACAATTTTTTGGGGCGTAACACAACCCAATATGCATGAAACTTAATGTTTCTCATACTCATTGGAGGAACTACCATCTCCATCTAAAATCATGCTCAACACAACACTATGGAGCCAATATGCAATTACTCTGAAAAGCATAATTACGCATGTTCATCAACATATCTCATGAAGTCAAATAGGCAACTCATACAAATATGAACAACAACATGAGGAATATAATACATGAAAACTCATTTTCAAACTAAAAATGAATTTCATCAACAACATGCAAAACATAAGGAAATCATGGGAAAGCTCATATAACACACATGACTCCTAAACACTAAAACTCAAGAGGGACTATTTACCTCAAGCATGAATAGGAGTAGAAGAAAAGAGATGAGTAGTGGGACTTCATATCGGCCTCGACCTCCCAAGTAGCACCCTCAACTAGATGGTTTCTCCATAAAACTTTCACGGAAGCTACTTCCTTATTTCTTAATCTCTTGACTTGCCGATCTAGGATTTCTACTAGAACCTCTTCATAAGAAATGCTTTCATCAACACCCAACTCTTCAAGGGGAATAGTGGATAACAGACCTCCAATACACTTCTTAAGCATAGAAACATGAAATATCGGGTGAACCGGGGCCAACACATTTTGTAGATCCAACTCATAGACAACTTTCCCAATACGCATCAAAGTTTGATTTGGACCTACATACCGGGGACTAAGTTTCCCTTTCTTACCAAACCTCATCACACCCTTCATAGGTGATATTTTTGGGTAAACCCAATCATTAACTTCAAATTCTAGATCCCTTCTTCTCACATCGGCAAAAGATTATTGTCTACTTTGAGATATTCTCAGCCTCTCTCTAATGAGTCGAACCTTCTCAATAGCTTCATAAACCGATTCGGAACTAATGAGAGGAATCTCACCAACTTCAAACCAACCAACTGGAGACCTACATCTCTTACCATACAAAGCTTCAAAAAGAGCCACAATGATAATTGAGTGGTGACTAATATTGTAGGCAAATTCTTTCAACGAAAAAGTGGTCATCCCAATTACCTTTGAAATATATAACACACGCCTTCAACATGTCCTCTAAAGTTTGAATGTTACGTTACGCTTGACCATCCGTTTGAGGGTGGAAAGCGGTACTAAGCTTCACCGTAATGCTGAGCCCTTTTTGAAAGGACTTTTAATAGTGAGATGTAAATTGAGTACCCCAATCCAAAATGATAGATAAAGGAACTCCATGTAACTTTACTATTTCCTTTATATACAACTTGGCATAATCTTCCGCTGAGTGAGATACCCTAATGGGAATAAAGTGGGTTGATTTAGTCATTCTATCAACAATGACCCAAATAGAGTCATGTAGCCTTCGAGTACGAGGCAAACCAACAATAAAATCCATATTCACCTCCTCCCAGTTCCAAGTGGGAATTGGTATATCTTGCAAGAAACCTCCCGGCCTTCGGTGCTCAACCTTTTACTTGTTGACAATTAGGACATTTGCCTACGAATTCCGCAATATCCTTTTTCACACCATTCCACGAATAGACTTCCCGTAGATCACAGTACATCTATGTGGCTCACGGATGAATAGAATATCTAGAAACATGAGCCTATTCTAAAATTTTCTCCCTCAAACCATCAAATCCGGAACACATAATCGACCTTGGTAGTTAAGTACCCTATCTCCCTCCTAGGAGAAAGCCTCAACGGACTTCTTGAGTACCGAATCTTTCAATTCATCTAATATACGATCAAGGTCATGTTTAGACTTCACATCTACCACACAGGATGACTTGGAGCGATTATGAACCGTGAAACCACCCTTAGGGGAATTTACTAGATGAACACCCAACCGGGCCAATCTATTCACATCACGAACAAGTTATTTCTTCTCATCCTCTACATGAGCAACACTACCCATGGATAATCTACTAAGTGCATCCGCTACCACATTAGCTTTGCCGGGGTGGTAAAGGACACTTATGTCATAATCCTTCAAAAGTTCTTACCACCTTCTTTGCCGGAGATTCATGTCTTTTTGACTAAACACATATTGAAGACTCTTGTGATCAGTGAAGACATTCACATGGACCCCATATAAGTAATGTCTCCATATTTTCAAAACAAACACAACCGCCGCTAATTCAAGATCATAGGTTGGGTAATTCTTCTCATGTACCTTAATTTGGCTTAAAGCAAGGCAATCACCTCACCATATTTCTTGACCACACATCCCAACCCTACTCTAGAGGCGTCACAATATACAACAAAACCATCGGTACCCTCCGGTAAGGTCAACACCGGAGCGGAAGTAAATCTATCTTTCAATTCTTGGATGATTTTCTTACAAGTCTCTGACCACTCAAAATTAGACTTCTTTAGACCCTTGAAAAACCTCCTAGAGTAACCAGCCAAACCCAAAAAGCTTCTAATGTTGGAAGGAGTTAGAAGTCTATGAAAACTCTTGACCGCATCCGTCTTCTTAGGATGAACCTCAATACTCTTACTTAACACTATGTGACCAAGGAATGCTGCAGACCTTAACCAAACCTCGTACTTGCTAAACTTTGCAAATAGTTGTTGGTCCTTAAGAACCTGTAATACTATTCTCAAGGGAGAAATTTTATACGAAAGGGTCAAATTGTGTCCTACCTTAAAGCTAGGAAAATGATTTCTAAGTATTGTATCTATCATATAGTGAGGGTGAGGGACATGGATTACGAAACCCCTCATCTTGAGTCGGTCTTCAATGTAAATGAGTTTTAAGAAGTGCTTCCCGATGAACTACTTGGTATTTCTCCCAAAAAAATAGACTTCGGAATTGACCTCCTACCCGATACGCAACCTATCTCTAATCCTCCTTAGAGAATGGCTCCAGCGGAACTTAAGGAGTTGAAAGATCAGTTGAGGGATTTGTTGGGTAAGGGTTTCATCTGACCTAGTATCTCTCCATAGTGTGCTCCAGTTTTGTTTGTAAGGAAGAAAGATGGTTCCCTTTGTATGTGTATAGAGTTTTGGCAATTGAAAAAGGTGACCTTTAAGAATAAGTATCCTCTTCTGAGAATAGATAATTTGTTTGACCAATTTCAAGGGGCAAGTTATTTCTCTAAGATTGATCTCCGGTCGGGTTATCACCAATAATGGGTGAAAACAGAAGATATTTCGAAAACTGCTTTTAGGACCCGATATGGTCATTTCTAGTTTTTCGTTATGTCCTTTGGTTTGACTAATGCTCCGGTGACATTTAAGGATTTGATGAATAGGGTGTTTAGACAATACCTTGATATGTTCGTAATCGTGTTCATAGATGAAAATTTAATCTATTCGAGAAGTGAGAATGACCATATTGAACATTTGAGGATTGTATTGCAAATTCTCAAGAACCAACAACTTTATGGAAAGTTTAGCAAATGTGAATTTTTGTTAAGGTCCGTAGCTTTTCTTGGCCATATAGTTTGAAGAAAGGGTATTCAGGTAGATCTAAAGAAGATGGATAAGATCAAGAGTTGGCCTAGACATATATCACCGAAAGATATTCGAAGTTTCTTGGGTTTGACCAGTGAATATAGAAGTTCTGTTGAGGGGTTTTATACGATTTCCTCTCCATTGGCGGGTTTGACTCAAAAGAAGGCCAAGTTTATATGGTCGGATGCTTGTGAGAAAAGTTTCTAAGAATAGAAAGATAGACTTAATTCTGCTATAGTGTTGACCTTATAGGAATGTACGGATGGCTTTGTCGTATATTGGGACGCCT